TATGATTTTGGAATGCTTGGTATGTGTGGGATCCTACAATCTAGTTGTTTATTCTTGGTAGCCTCTCTTATGGGGAAATGTCTCCTAGTGCTTCCACTGAGCCATGGTAGCTTGCTACTGCTCTGGAACACTTAGGCTGGCCGGCATGTGTCCTTCTTCGTTCCTGTGTCTGTCCCTTCGGGGAAATGTCACACGTTGTTCTTTTAAGTCCTTATAGCTTGCTATGACTTGGGTTCATACGTTGATGACCGACACATTTGTTGCTAGGTCATGTATGCCTGTCCCTATAAGTTAGTGCCACCTTGGGTTTACGACTAGTCATGTCGGCCCGGGTTCTATGTCAGGTGGGTGCTAGCGACACCATCATATACATGATCCAAAAGGCGCAAACGGTCCCGTGCCAGGTAAGGTGGCACCCGTGGGAATACCGTGCGTGAGGCCGCAAAGTGATATGATGTGTTACATGCTAGATCAGTGTGACTTAGGATCAGGGTCCTGACAGTGGATCACTGGACAACGGTCAAGAACATCCTGAAATACCTGAAAAGGACTAAGGATATGTTTCTTGTTTATGGAGGTGACAAAGAGCTCGTCGTAAATGGTTATGTTGATGCAAGTTTTGACACTGATCCGGATGACTCTAAGTCACAAACCGGATACATATTTATATAGAATGGTGGAGCTGTCAGTTGGTGTAGTTCGAAGCAAAGCGTCGTGGCGGGATCTACGTGTGAAGCGGAGTATATAGCTGCTTCGGAAGCAACAAAGTCTGGATGAAGGAGTTCATATCCGATCTAGGTGTAATACCGAGTGCATCGGGTCCAATGAAAATCTTTTGTGACAATACTGGAGTAATTGCCTTAGCGAAGGAATCCAGATTTCATAAGAGAACAAAACACATTAAGAGACGCTTCAACTCCATCCGCGATCAAGTCAAGGAGGCAGACATAGAGATTTGCAAAATACATACGGATCTGAATGTTGCAGACCCATGACTAAGCCTCTTCCACGAGCAAAACATGATCAGCACCAAGATTCCATGGGTGTTAGAATCATTACAATGTAATCTAGATTATTGACTCTAGTGCATGTAGGAGACTGAAGGAAATATGCCCTAGAGGCAATAATAAAGTAGTTATTTATATTTCCTTATATCATGATAAACTTTTATTATTCATGCTAGAATTGTATTAACCAGAAACTTGATACATGTGTGAATACATAAACAAAACAAAGTGTCCCTAGTATGCCTCTACTTGACTAGCTCGTTAATCAAAGATGGTTAAGTTTCCTAACCATAGACATATGTTGTCATTTGATGAACGGGATCACATCATTAGAAGAATGATGTGATGGACAAGACCCACCCGTTAGCTTAGCATAATGATCATTAAGTTTTATTGCTATTGCTTTCTTCATGACTAATACATATTCCTTTGACTATGAGATTATGCAACTCCCAAATACCGGAGGAACACCTTGTGTGCTATCAAACGTCACAAATGTAACTGGTTGATTATAAGGATGCTCTACAGGTGTCTCCAAAGGTGTTTGTTGGGTTGGCATAGATCGAGATTAGGGTTTGTCACTCTGAGTATTGGAGAGGTATCTTTGGGCCCTCTCGGTAATGCACATCATGATAAGCCTTGCAAGCAATGTGACTAATGAGTTAGTTCCGGGATGATGCATTACGGAACGAGTAAAAGAGACTTGCCAATAACGAGATTGAACTAGGTATGAAGATACCAACGATCGAATCTCGGGCAAGTAACATACCGATGACAAAGGGAATGACGTATGTTGTCATTGCGGTTTGACCGATAAAGATCTTTGTAGAATATATAGGAACCAATATGAGCATCCAGGTTCCGCTGTTGGTTATTGATCGGAGATGTGTCTCGGTCATGTCTACATAGTTCTTGAACCCGTAGGGTCCGCACGCTTAACGTTCGATGATGATTTGTATTATGAGTTATGTGTTTTGGTGACCGAGATCGTTCGGTCCCGGATGAGATCACGGACATGACGAGGAGTCTCGAAATGGTCGAGAGGTAAATATTGATATATTGGACGATAGTATTCGGACACCGGAATGGTTCCGAAGTGTTTCGGGTTTTTATGAGAGTACCGGGGGGTTACCGGAACCCCCGGGGGAAAGATATGGGCCATAGAGGGGAGGGGAGGCAGCCCACAAGGGGTGGCACGCCCCCCCATGGGGAGTCCGAATTGGACAAGCGGAGGGGGTGCGGCCCACCTTTCCTTCTCCTCCTCCTACTCCTTCCCCCTTTCCTCTTCCGCTAAAAGGAAAGGGGGGCGAATTGGACTAGGGATCCAAGTGGGACTCCTCCCACTTGGCACGCCCTAGGCCGTCCTCCTCCTCTCTCCCTCCTTTATATACGGGGGCGGGGGGCACCTCTAGACACATCAATTGTTTTCTTAGCCATGTGCGGTGCCCCCCTCCACCGTTTACTCCTCCGGTCATATTGTCGTAGTGCCCTGCGCGGATCACATCACCATCACCGTCACCACGCTGTCGTGCTGACAAAACTCTCCCTCGACACTTTGCTGGATCAAGAGTTCTAGGGACGTCATGGAGCTGAACGTGTGCAGAACTCGGAGGTGTCGTATGTTCGGTGCTTGATCGGTTGAATCGAGAAGACGTTCAACTACATCAACTGCGTTAAGCTAACGCTTCCACTTCTGGTCTACGAGGATACGTGGACACACTCTTCCCCTCCCGTTGCTATGCATCTCCTAGATAGATCTTGCGTGATCGTAGGAATTTTTTTGAAATTGCATGCTACGTTCCCCAACACTACACTCATTGACCCTACACACCTTGCTTCTACTCATGGCTCCATATACATATTCTTAAGCGCGTCTTTGATCATCCGTTGATTCTTTCTACAATTGCAGATAAAAAGTGAGCCCACGTGTTGGACCAAGTGGGACAAAGAGGAAAAAAGGAGAAACATTGGTGAGAAATTGAAAAAAATGTGTTATGTAGTCATTTTAACATGACATGTATTAGAAACAGTTGATAACAACCCAAAATATCAAGGCAATTGTAGATTCGTCAGCAAACTTGCTTATAAGGTGTAACACATATATTGAATTCTCTGCAGTTTTCCACACATGTATTTCAATGATATATAAACAATTATGATGGTGGCGGCAGGATGACGGCCTTTGACGCTCTCCGGCGATGGCTACCATGGCGAGTTCGGCACGGATGCGACCATGGCATGACCTCGTTGGAGGCGGAAGTACTGGGCCATAGGCTCGGGCATGGAGAGGTTGGCGATGGCAATGGTTGCATTCTAATTTTAAGTCAGATTTTCGCTTTTACAGAAAATCCAACCGCCTCCAATCGCGAGTGACTCAGTGTTTATGGTAATCAACCCGCATTCCCGTTGTAAGTTAGATTTTTGCTTATCCCCTTATGTTTCTGATAATCAACCTACATGCAAGTTTTAAGTCAAAATTTTCTTTTGCAAAAAACACCCTGATAATTGGGTTAATCAACCTATAGTACATATCAAATGCTTTAAAAAATATTCATATATTCCAACCCTAACTTCAAATTTAACAAATTATATATGGAATTTGATTAGAAAAATGTTTATAATTCGAATATGATGTTGTTTTACCTGTTAACCATTTTAGAAAGATATTTAGGATGCAACCTTAATCAATAGCACATGATCCATCTTTTTTCCATACCGGTGCCGAGCTGGATTGAAAATGAACAACTCAGCAAAATCAGGATTGGAGACGAAAGAAACCATCTATAACCACGCATGCACTTCTCGCCAAACCGTCACATGAAAAACCAGATTTCCCATCTTATGCCGAGAGAGACGCCTTATGGTTGTCAACATTCAAACGCATTGTGATTGTGTGAGCACTGAAGCCATCGCCAGCAAAGGTTGCAAGGAGGATAAGAACGACAGAGATGGGATGCCATGTGTTGAAAGAAATTCGATAGATCTATTGAGATCTTGATTCATGCTTATTGAGTTAGAAGGGTGTGATTTAAAAAAAATCTTATAGTACTAGAACTTATGGAAGTTGGGATGATTCTATGAGAGAGGCGTTGTAGCACCCGAGCTCCAGTGCTCTCTATATTTGAACAATTTGAAATTCATGTTTTGGAAGTTTCAAAAAATGTGAATTTTTTTGAGGATACATATATACATTTTGAATACCCGTGGAAAGTTCTGGTACAAATCTCGTTTTGTTTTGCCCTATAGAAAGAAACAAATTTCTGACAGTATATAGGAGGAAAAGGGTGTTATTTCTGTCAATTTTTTTGTATTTCCTAAAATACAATGTATTTCTTTCCAGATTTTTACCAGGCCTTAGGAACATGTGTACATATTCACGTATTTGTTTTAAGACTTTTTAAGCATCCGAAGTGTGTTTTTTAAAAAATTTCAAATACCAAGAGCACTGGAGCTCGGTAGCTGCAGGCATTTTTCGTGATTCTATGCCCGTCTTTATTTCCCAAGCACTTGTAAAACGATATGTTGATCATTTGAGGAATAGAAGTCTTGATAATGTAAAGAAAATGCCCTCGGCAGCAGCAGAGCCCGAGAGGCCGGAGCCAAGAAAGGAGCAGAGGAACAGAGCCCCGCGTGTGGGCGCGCCGGCTGACGGAGGGATGAGGCGGCGCGGGGCGCGACAGCGGACGGAGGGATGCAGCCGTCTTCCTCGCGCCGGGGGGAGCTGCGGTTCGGGGATCTCTGGGAAATCAGCGAGCGCGCCACCTGAAGATCTCCATGGCTAGCGCCGCGGAGCTCGGGTACACTGCCCCCTGTGAATTCGAGTTCGAGTTCATTTCCAGTTCAGCCGGCGACTGGCGACAGCTGGTAATCCGATTCCGGCAAGAACCAGGAGCTCTCCGATGAATAAAAGCGCTTGCGGTGGGGGCAGCGGCTCCAACTCGATTCGCTCGCCTCCCTCCCCGATCCCCAGATCCAATCCAGGACACGCCATCGATGGCGGCGAAGGTGCTCCAGCTCCGTAGCTCCGACGGCAAGGTGCTCGTCGCTCCGGCGTGGGACTATCGCCCGGCCGCCGCCCAAGCCCTCCCGCTAGAGACGCGGGTGTCCTCGCGCGCCCTCGAGAGGGTGCTCCAGTACTGGACCAAGCACAGCCTTGCCAAGGCCACCGGTGAGTCCCGGGAGTCCCTGGCCCGCTGGGACGCCGACTTCCAGCGCCGCCTCGAGGAAGACGGCCTCGCCAAGGAGGCCGCCGCAGCCGCCCAAGAACTCCGCCGCTACGGCGTCGACCATGGAGGGCGTCCCCATCACCACGCCGCCACGGCCGCATCTGATGTCGCTGCTCCTGCCAAGGCGGCCCGTGTTGATCCCGTCCGTGTCTGGTGTGTCAACCACGGAGAACGCAGCCATGCGCCGGCGATGCCCGGCTCCTTCGATGCCTCTGATACTGCCACCACCTTGCCGGCCGCTGCTGGTGCTGACCCCGGGGACGTCCGGTGCGCGATCCGTGCCCGTGGGCGCCAGATGGCTGAAGACGAGGAGTCCGCTTGCCACCACCGCAAGGGCCCGGCTTCCAAGGCTCCACTCTGCCTGCCTGCCACTGCTGCTGCGCCTGTGAAGAAGGTCTCTCGTCAGGTCGCTTCCAAGGCTTGCTCTATCGTCGGCTCTACACCACTGCCTGCCACTGCTGCTGCGCCCAGTGTGCAACCGAAGCCGCAGATCAGCATGCGCGAACTGATCGTGAACGCTCGCCTCACCATGGCTCGCCTCGACAAGGCTCGCTCTGCCTCCGAAGAAGAGGCCAGCCGTCGGCGCGACATCGAGCGCAGCCGAGCGGAGGCCCGGCGAAAGGTGGAGCAGATGGTGAACACCGTGCAGTTCAACGACCCGTGGATCCATTACTCCGACGTGACCAAGTCCCCTGAGGAGCTGCTCCAAGCACGACAGCAAGCATGGCGTTATCAAGCTCACCTCCTCGAGATGGCTCGTCGACGGGACTTTGCTGAAGCGATGCAAATCCACAGCACCAAGGAAGCAACCAATTCCTTGGCTTCGTCCAGTGGTATTACGCTTTCCCTGGTCTTTTAGTTGCTTCCTAAACCATGCACACATAAGTTTCATTTAATCTTTGCATCTCTAGGTTCTGCACTTGCTTACCAAGATTTCTAGTGTTCTTTGAATCCCGTTCAGTCATTAGTAATTTTACTAGAGTGTCAGCAGAGTCTCCATCTAGCTAGGCAGCAAAAATCTTGTTAAGATGTGTACGGCATAGTTACACTACATCCACACCTGGTCCTAAGTTAAGGGTTTAAGTAAATAAAGGGCATTTTCAATAAATCAAAGTAAAGCAGATGAGCCTAAAAAGGAAACTCATGTACTGCAATTCCGGCACGAGACAGAGCGTAAGACGCACTCGCCGCAAAATCCAAAACGCCCGTTTGCTACCCGGCTTGTAGCAGGAAAAAGGAGTAGAATTGAACTTGTCGATACACACATAATCATGTGAGCTGCCTAGCGTTTGGAGACTATGCTGACTCTCCTGTAAAATTAATCTTGGCTGAATTGGATTCTTAGGCATTGGCATCTTAGTGAGTTAAAGTAGCAGTTTCCGAAGAGTAACATTGGTTAGTGAACTCTTGTGTGTCTGTGTGGGTGAAGCTTCGAGCTAAGCAAGTCCTTGATGTACCGACTATCAAGTCATACTGTAATCAATTTTGGTTATGAATGAGAAAATTGTTGGCCTGAATTTTGCAGAGCATTTGAGTAATCTTTTCGTATCTATTTATTCTTGTATGCTTTTGTGGCTTCTTACAGCATTCTGCTGCTCACTGAGGCACAGATCCAATGGGTTCATCTCTGATTTCACAATACTTCGTTTGAGTGGTGATGCAACATAACCATGTTTGGGACAGTTACTGGTTAGAAGATTTTTTTGGTTTGAGATACAGCACTCTAATAGTCAAGAATGTGAAAAAGGTGGCATCATATTGCGGCCATCTGTCAAACTCACCACTGCCTGTCTCTGCTGCTTCACCTAGCGTGAAGGTGACTCCAGTTTCAACTCTGCGTGCTCAAAGGGGAATGCGGGATCTCAGCTGCAAAATCCCGAAGCAAAACCGTATTGTTGTTGCTTCACCAAACAAGCAACCTTTCTTGAGTCCGTGTCGGTGAACCTTCGAGTTAAGCAAGTCCTCAATGTACCGAGTAACGAGTCATGTTGTAATAAAAATTTCAGATATGAATGAAAAATTGTTGGCCTGAATTTGGGCACAGCATTTGAGTTATCTGAATTTGCGCACATTATGTTGCTTCTATGGCTTCTTAAAACACTCCGTTGCTCTGTTCAGAAAAGTGTGCGCTGAATGGTGATGCACATAACCATGTTTGGACTGTTATTATTAGTTAGAAGATTTTTTGGTTTAAGAAACTGCAGTCTAATTGTTTGAATGTGAAAAAGGTTGCATCTATGCTTCTCAGATCATATTAGCTTTTCATTTGAATTATGTGCAACCGTAGTCTTACATTCTCAGGCTCCTTGATTTTTTTTCCTGTTCACTGTCATTTTAAGGTTGCTCAAAAATTCTCTTGGCACTTGTGAAAATATGTTTTCACATGTCGAATCAGCAAGTGATGGATGTCTTCCACCTCTTGCAGTAACCATGCACAATTCAGAGAAAATAAACCAATATCAACGGAAAAAGACGAATAGAAATTCAGGTCATGCCCCAAACATATCTATCAGCAGCAGGATCCTATGTTAAATCCAGTAGTCCACTGTTTATCTACATTTCAGAGAACAAGGTGGTTAATTACGTTGCTTCTCCCATAGCTAGCTCTGCTGTGAAGCAGCCGCGGCTTGTTCCATGAACAGGTGCGTGCTCAGAACTGAAACCTCAACTGCTGCTGGTACTATATCATGGTTGTTTGTTAGACTTGAATCATCGGAATCTAGTGGAGTGCTTCTGCCAATGCCACAAATTTATCAACTGAACTGCAAGGAAATGTAAACAAAGCAAGAAATTAGAAAAGAAGGATAGCTTAAATAGAGGTTCAGATTTTGCATAGGATAGCTTCAGTAGAATGGCTAATGCATACTAAGAGTCCAACATACGAATTACTTGGATTTTGACAGATAATAATAGAAGCTCAAATTTGGCCAGGTACTTCTGAGTGTGTCTTGGATCCTTGATTGTCTGCAACTGACCCATCTTCAGTTCTGCACAGTTGCTCTTCCTCAACCAGCCCCCAATGGTGATTTTTGTTACCATGAGCAACAGAGTCTATTTATACAGTCTAGCAGAACAATTGATTTGAAGCCACTACACACTGCTTGGGGATTTGAACAAGTTTTTTTTTCTCAATCTCGGTTTTCTTCGGGAGGGACCGAAAAACCCATTTTCCGGAAAAACTTGAAGTTTTCGGCATTTTTTCTTTCAAAAATTTCAAACAAATTCCGAATTCAAAAACTGAACAAATATGTTAATGCAAACCCCCATTCCTCTTTTGAATTCAAAAACCCAAAAACATTGTTGATGCAAACCGGAAGAATACGTTGATGCTCCATCGTACATAAACTTATAAGAACTGAATTCAAAATCTGTTTAAATTTTTTGAACAAAATACCAAAAATTGCAAGATTTCTAAAAACTGGTTTTTTTGGTCCTTCCCGCAAAAAACCAAAATCGAGAGAAAAAAACATTTTCAAATTCACGTGTGTGTAGTATCTTCGAATCAAATTTTTTTTCTCGTATAGTGCTTCATGCGTATGGTGTGACGTCGGGAGTTCGAATCCTGTTGGGCGTGTTTATTTTTATTATCTAGTATTTCCTTCTTTGCTACTGATAGGTAGGACCCATATGCAGGTATTTTGCATGGGCCAGCTGGGGTGTAGCGTTTAACGAAGAGTTAACGGCAATGAGGGAAATGTACTCAAACATACCCGAAACACAAGTTGTAGGGCCGATTTGTTTCCTTTCAAGTTTATGCATGAATATGTTCGTGGAGTGTAAGTTTATGTATCAAAAGTGTATTTAACTATATTACTAACTTCATCTAACTATCTAAGTTGTTTAATAATTAATTAACAAATAAACCAACTATTCTTGAGTTGCAATAACCATGTCCGCTAAATGAACAAAATAACTTTCATCTCGGAGAAATGGATAAGTGGCATGGAGCTGAATGACTATGATGTTATTTAATTCATTTTTATGGTTGCATGCGTCAATGAATTAGACCTGGGCATTTCCGGGCCGGGACGGGTTTCAAAAAGCCCGACCCCAAGATCCCAATCCCAGGAAATGACTACTTTTCGTATTTAAAATAATAAAATAACTATTTTCAGGGATTAATACTCTAATACTATGCACATATTTATATAAAAAAACCTGAAAATCATGTTTTGCCGGGCTTTTCTGGCCTTCGGGTCAGGCTATGGGCTGGAAAGTGAGGCCCGGGCCTGGCCCGTAGCCCAGGAAATGACTACTTTTTTGTATTTTTAATAATAAAATAACTATTTTCGGGGATTAATACTCTAATACTATGCCTATATATTTATATAAAAATTTGGAAATCATGTTTTGACAGGCATTTTTTGGGCTTCAGGCCGGGCTGTGGGATGGAAAGTGAGGCTCGAGCCCAACCCAGACGTCGGGCTTCAGGTCGGGCCTGTCGGGCTGGGCCACCCATGCCTTGGTTTACTATGAATGCAGAGCCCGGGGTGGTATCCCTCTTTTTTCGAAAAAAAGTTAATTTCATTTTGCTGCTATCACCTTTTTAATGTATTGCGAGCACTCTTCAACTGCTTTAACATCAGTGATGACTTCCCTGGAGAACTTGCCTTGCTGCACGCGATGGTGGCGCCCTAACGGCCTCGACCCGGCGCCCTTCAGCCAACGCCTATGGCTAGTTATTGGGCTGCTGCGGATGGCAGATCTGGCGCTCCCTAGTGAGACGGAGCAAGGTGGTGGCCCCTCCTCCCTGCACGAGCTAGATCTTATCAATGACGCGTTTGGGGCCCCAGTGTGCGGCGCTGAGGTGGCTAGGCGCTGGTTCAGGCTGGGGTTGGCCGGATATGGCTCGCTGGCCTGCCGGCGGCGAGGTGGAAGGCCCCGACGTGGTGGTGGCGCCACCACAGCGCCGGGGTGTACGGGCCAGTGGGTGGCGGATCAGCTGTGTGGCTGGTCGCATGAGGATGTGGAGGCGGGTTGTTCCGGGCGATGGCCTACATGGCTCTGGCCAACGCCGACAACGCAGTGCTAGTGGGGGTCGTTCTTCCTTCCTGGAGGGTCGTCGTGGTACTCTCCGGCCTTGTCCATCCTCGGGGTTCATCTTCGGGTGAAAGCCTTTGGCACTGCAGCAGCAGGGCTAGGCGACGACGTCGTTCCACATCGCTTCCCCTTGGGGGCGTCGTCTTGAAGACTAGTTCCCCTCCGCGCTTTCCCTGGGCTGGATGTGCACGACATCAAGGTTGGCTGGTGCCCAACGGGTGATGCGAGTGGTTGATGTTGCGACTCGTGCGGCAACGACGATGGTGGTGTGCAGAACTAGGTCGCGGCTATTAAGGGGTTTCTCAAACAACACAAAAGTGACTCCTACGACGACTCCTCTGAATTGGACAGTTATTTGGAGTACTACCCGTGGGACATACATTACTTTACGACTGACAAGTGTTGGAGTTCCTTTGCCAATAAACTGAAGAGAAAAAGAAATGTGACGCGGAAGTTCATGTTGTATGTGCAATCTTCTGAGATAGAGCATTATGACATTCTGCTCAAAGCTGTAAATGATGATTATTATCAACTGGTGACGGTTGTGTTGCCTGGGACAAAAAGCCTGACAAGTGGCTTCCACTTTGGTGCCCTTGTGGAAGACTTGACAATGACAGCAAAGGAAATTGGAGATTATCTCACTGGTCAGTTTGGTAAGCAGATTAGTCCTGGTGAGGCGTGGAGAGCAAAACAGTTTGCTCTGGAGAGGAAATTTGGTACATTTTATGATTCACACAACTTTACCCCGAGGTTACTTAAGGATATA